ATCTAGAGTTGAAAAAATTACATTACGTGCAAAACATTGAGATTTCCTATCGACTGACGTTGATAGGCAGCTAAACAAAATCAAAACAAATAACCAATATATATATATATATATATATATATATATATATATATATATATATATATATATATATACTACTCATATAGACAAAAAGCAATTAACTCAGTACAAAATTACAACTTTGATTTGGTGCATTTACTATATATATATATATATATATATATATATATATATATATATATATATATATAGTCATCCATAGCTACTCAGTGTGCCTAGACGTACGTTTGCTGGGCCGGAATCAAAACTCGACTGATTTGATATCAGTTAGATATCTTACCGATAGGCCATCGTCGTTTTTATAGATACACATATTTAAGTAAATGCTCTGTTTATAATAAACAGTATTAAAAAACATTTACAGGGCTATACGGAACCGTCATTTAGCTTAACGTGCCTTTAACCGATTTGGCCACAGGGGAGATTTCGGTTAACAAGGTCAAATTTACTGTATTTTAACTTCAGTCTTCTATGAATCTCTCACGTATATTTATATCTGATCATAGCGTATCAAATGTAAACAAATGACGTCACACATTATGAAACCGACAAAGTCCGACAATTATTTTAAGATATTTTTATGTTTATACATTCTTGTTATAGATGCAAATATTTAAATGCTCTCTTTATAATAAACAGTATTAAACAACATTTACCGGCCTGAATGTCCGAGACATTTTCACAGAAAATATTCGTCCTCCGAATAAAATGAGGCGTCTATTTCATATACGAATATTCCGTAATATTAACTCGGAGCTCCGATTAACAATTCCGTGTCATAGTTCATTACAGACACGGAAAGGAAAATGCCAAAGCTCCTAGAAGAAGTTAACGACGGAAAGCGAGAAGAAAGGATTAAGTATAAACTAAAGGAGACAGAATGCATGTTTATCCACAAAATGGTGAGCTCAAAATGCAAATTAGAAATCGGGGATACTAAAATCAAACAAGTACATGGCTTTAAATATCTTGGAAGTTTTCTAACAGAAAGTGCGACAGTCAGATCCGAAGACGTATTGAGATGGACAAAAATGCATTCCAAAAGCTAAGCAGAGTATTAAGGGACGTAAAACTTTCTTTAGAAACCAAAAAAAAAAAAGTACTGAAATGTTACGTGATATCTCTCCATTTTTTATAGCAGTGAATGCTCGACAATCTCCTCAAAGATGAAGAAGAGTCATGATTCCCCGCAAAAAATTAATTGTACGGAAAGATGCTGAAGATACCATGTGTGACAATGAGGCTGTAAGTTGGCTAAACATTTATTCCATGCAGAGCGAAAGTTAAGCCCAAAATGAAATATAAACAGAGAGTTACGGAGAATGGAAGACATTTTCACTAATAATGTGGAAGTGAAAAAAGGGCCGTCTGGAATACCTCACTCCAACGAATTGTAATGATGGACCGATAGTTTTCTTTTTTTTTTATCTATCGAATATCTGGCATGCGGTAAAACACATTTGGAAATTGCTTCATCTTTTTCTTCTGGAATTAGAAAACCACATATCATTGGCGGAAAGAGAAGCAGCCGGGAGATATATTTTCATTAGCGAAAACGAATTGAGGAATAAAAACTGAGAATTACCTCGCTGTGAAGGTTAGGATTATGAAAATCGATCCATCATAACAGGTAGGTGATCTGGTTTAGATTTTCACTAAGACGGCGACCAGCCCAAAGATGGGAAACAGCGAGTCTCTTTGTTTGGTATTTAGGTAAATATATATATATATATATATATATATATATATATATATTCATTGACGAAAATAAATTAGGAAATATTTTTTACCTATCACTCGGAAGGTTAAAATGAGAAAGTTATATGGTTTATGTTTACGCTGGACAGGTGGGTCCAGGAAAGAAATCAGAGAATTAAAATTAATGAGGATAAGAAAGCACGCCATTTTTCCTACACACGTTAAAAATTAGATTTGTAGACAGTAATGCCGGACCTGAGAAGTGGGCAGAGTTAAAATACCGAGAAATACAGTTGAAGTGGCAGAATTTAGTCCAGACTGTGCGAAGTAGCGGTGTGAGATTTGAAGCGAAGCAGGTTGGAGTTAATGGAAGATCAATGCCTGTGACTACAAACAAGGAAGGTGGATAATTCTTCCCATTTGGAAAGTTGATTAAAAACCAAAACTAGAGAACAGAGAAAACATTTATTGGAATTATTGAAAATTGGGGAATCACCGGATCCCCAGAACCCTTCGGCTCCACGCCAGTTTTGAGCCGAAATGCATATAAGCAGCTGACTTTGGGGAGGTTGGAAACCCGCATGGAGAGTATCTGCAATTTAGACAAGGCCCAGCGTCACTAGATGGACTGATGCAGTAAGCGTGATTTTTTCTGTACCAAGACCTGTATGAACCAATTGAAAATTAACCCCACGAATCTCTCGTTTTATTTTATCTCGTGAACATATATTCTTCCCTTATTATAGTGCCCGGCATGGCTTGAACAAGCGCTCCGAGACTACGATCTTAGATTTTCCACTGCACAGCGATCAAGAACACGGCGTTTGCAGAGTTGGTGTTGAACGAAGCGGCTAGCGACCAACAATCAGCTTGGACCAGTTTCAGTAAGGAACAGCGCAGATTTAACCTCGTTGGTAAATCATCTTTCTCGGGCCCTGAGGACCGGAGCTCTAAACGTTGTTAGACCACTGGAAGTAAACGGCGGCAAATGTGTTATATATTGAGCAGACATATGAGCAAAAAGGAGAGAATGGAGAGAATGAAAACAAAAATGAAACTTATATTTTAGGAAGAGGCAGTGGACATTTCGGGGTCACTAAAACGAGGAAGTAAAACCTGATACGTATGGAATAGATTGAGTGAATGACAGCGAGGAATGCAGCGGCTAACACACTTGATGAGCTTGAGTAAATGGATTGTGGAAAAAGGGTTTGGGAGAAATAACAAAGTGACAAAACTTATTCAGAGCTACAAGGGACAGGATGATGTTGAGGGTCATGACCGATGCATGTTGAAGGGGCACAACCCATAAAAGATGACTCCATTACACCACCGCACGTCCAAGTTTACAGCACCTGGTATTCACAAGCGTTCCCCCGTTTAATCAGTGAACAGTCTTGCCGTAGCTTAACTTCCATGATCGCACGGGTATTTGTGTTTCAATCGAAAACACACACACACACACACACACACACACACACACACACACACACACACACACACATCGCATAATATATATATATATATATATATATATATATATATATAGGGTATTTGAACCGCGACCGACCGTTTCGTCGCAAAACACAAGTCACAAGATATCATCTTTGACGGTTTTTTTTTCATGTCTGTATAAACACTCTGAAGATGGGTTATGTGAGTCGAAACCTTAGAACCAACTTAAAACAATATCCAAATGTTGGACAATTTTTGTCTTTATTATCACGAGAAATTAAAGCAAACATTGGAACATTAGAACGGCTTATGATATGATATAATAGACGTTCATTGTCTGTTATATTTAATAATATATACACACACACATATATATATATATATATATATATATATATATATATATATATATGGGTATGGGTATGGGTGTATGTATGTATGTATAAATATCCCAAAATAAATCTTTCCTATAAATGCAGATATATACATAAAAATCATCTTTCATAATGGCCAAAAGAATAGCCGAAAGCGCTAGAAGATGCAGAACTTCTGAACACACACACACACACACACACACACACATATATATATATATATATATATATATATATATATATATGAAAATCTAAAATCGTCTTTCATAATGGTTACAAGAGCGCTAGGAAATACAGAACTTCTAGACACACACTCACACACATACATACATACATACATACATACATATATATATATATATATATATATATATATATATATATATATATATATATATATATATATATATATATACGAAAATAAAAATTTCTAATAAATTCAGATACATACATAAAAAAAAACACATATATAGTTAAAAATTAGAAAAATTAAAATCATCTTTTATAATGGCTAAAAGAATAGCCGAAAGCCCGAGGAAATGCAGAATTCCGGACAGTTCTAAAAATTGTCCAGAAGTTCTGTTTCTTATACGAAAACAAGGAAAACTGAATAAAAAGCTTAATTACATGATCTTATCTCTCGTTTTTAACGAAACTTGTATAAAACAGGGATTGCTGCCTAAATACAGTATATATATATATATATATATATATATATATATATATATATATATATATATATATATATATATGTGTGTGTGTGTGTGTGTGTGTGTGTGTGTGTGTGTGTGTGTGTAGTCTTTTGCACACCCACTGACTATATTATGGAGCCCATCCTTTCTCTAGCCTCCCGAAGGATAGGCCATTTATTCTGCTACAGCCATAACGTCGTGCTGTTCACCCTTCCAATTATTCACGCAAACAATGTTCTTTTCTTTGCTTTTCCCCCCTATTAAACTGATACATTTATTTTTTTCTCTCTCTATATTTCTACCTCCCTGATATACCTACCACCCTTAAATCTCCCGCGTTTTCTCTTTTTTTCCACCCTCTTTTTCAGTGTCTTGTTTCTTTCTCCTAATATAATTCTCTGATGTGTTTTGTTGTTCGCTGGGGCGATGTTAAACATTTTCCTTACGAGTATTCCTTCAGATCTATGTTGTGTAACTTCGAACAAAGAGAACAGAAATATACAGGTAGGCAGGTCTCACGCAATCTTTCGCTTCTCTGCTCATCCCAGTGGTACTGAATCGGGTAGGCTGTTGAAAGGTTTAATGATCCATGAACATCTCAATTCAAACTAACGAAGAGAATTTGCCAATCATTATATTTTCTTTGCTACACTTAGCTAGACCCATCACAAAGGCAAAGCGATGGTGTAATGTAATAGCAATGGTAACCACAACCATTTCCATTCATCTATCTATCTATCTATCTATCTATCTATCTATCTATCTATCTATCTATCTATCTATATATCTATCTATATACCTGTTTATCTACCAAACTACCTATCTGTTTTCATCTATCTATCTATTTTTCATTAATAATCTATTTGCCTTTGATAATGTATTTTCATCTATCTATCTATCTATCTATCTATCTATCTATCTATCTATCTATCTATGTTCCTTTAATAATCTATTTACCTTTATTAATCTAGTTTATTTTGTCTATCAAGCTAACTATATGTCTATTTTACTTTGTCTATATATCCGTTTCTCTACCTACCTATCTATTTTCTGTTTTCTATCTATCTATCTATCTATCTATCTATCTATCTATCTATTTTCCTTTATTTATATATCTATCTATTTAATAACAAAAAACCAGGGTTGCAGATATATTGTACATTAAATGGGTAAGTACACCAGAAGAGCATTACACGACTAATAAGTGTGTATCGAATGAACAAGCGTTCAATCTATTCACGATATTGAGTCACCCCCCCCCCACGAGGGTGTCATGTGGCACAAGGCCTTTTTAACGTGGTCATTCCGAGCCCGTGGGCTCGGCTAAAAATATGCCCATTGAACCCGTATAAACGGGTTCAGGGCCGGTTTTACCTCCCCGAGGGAGACTCCGCCCTTCGGCGTAGCCTCCTTCGGCTTCCTCCCGTCCGTAGGAAGAGAGTTCAACCGAGTAGACGGTTCAAAAGTGAATGACTGACTCTCTCAAATCTATTCACTGTTCTCTGTTAATATTTAACAGACCCCACCACGAGGAATGTATGTGGCACAATGCCGAGTTTACCGTGGGTTTTTCGAGCCCGTAGTCTCAGCCAAATATATTTCTTTAGAACCTGCATAAACGGATTCAGGATCTGTCTACCTCCCCGGACGAAACTTTGTCTTTCGGCAAAGCCTCGTCCGGGTTCCTCTCTGCCCAGAAGCAGAGAGTTCAACAGTTGAACCGTTTGGCACTGTTGCTCCCAACCTTATAAACTTATGGTAGGCGGAAGAGTCTAACATATACTCTTTAGAGGGAGGACACCACAACATATTTTCTATTTGTTTCTCTACAGTACTTTTTAAATAAAAATAATAAAAAGACCAACAATAATTTGATAACAAAATGACAATCAATGCAGCAATATTAAAATCTATTTTATATTAAAATTACCAACAAAATGTTCGAACCCTACTGTTAGTAGGATATGGACCAGTAAATTATTATTATCTCCAAATAATTTGTAAGATCGAAGAAATATTTATGAATTTAAATAACCTGAATGTCCCCAAGGACACAATGGCACAGTGGATAAAGGCGTTGGTTAGATCCAGTTACAGGACCCAAAGAGTGTGAGTTCAATACCCGGTTAAGGCAGTGGAGAACTTTCAGAGGGGAATTAACAGGAGATAACTGATAACTGATGTCCATTAAACATGGCACATGGAACTAGAATAGTCTACCCCAGTGAGAGAAATAAAGGGTCAGTTCGACATTCCAAACACCTAAAGAAGGCCGGAGCGTTCAACGGCCGAAACGTTGTGATACATATGGCGACAAAGATGATGGACAATAATGTAAATAATGTACATAATATCTCATCTCAGAAATATACACAGGGTTGATAAGCGGGCTGAATAGGGTTGATAAGCAGTAAAATATTAATCAGCCAAAACAAGAAACATTTGTGATTCATTGAACTGAAGAGTTATAGCTATCTATTTCCCTTTTTCTATCTATCTATCTATCTATCTATCTATCTATCTATCTATCTATCTTCATTTATATTTTCATATTATTTTGGATAAGCATGGAATAATAATAATACAACACAAAATGTACGTAAACAAAATGTATTGAAACAAGGAAAATAGATTTTCTAAAATTTAAAATTGTATATTCTTGGGAAGACTGTTCCTGTAGAATGGGTTGACTTAATCATGTCGGGCAAGTCTCTGGATTGCATCTCTTACTTCTTTCTAACCTTTTTTTTCTATGGTCGTACTCCACTATGTAAATTAGGTGGATCGTACCACAACATATCAACCTCTATTCTATTATCTATCTATCTATCTATCTATCTATCTATCTATCTATCTATCTCTTAGCTTTTCAGATCTATCTATCTATCTATCTATCTATCTATCTATCTATGTATTTTCCTTTATTTATATATCTATGTATTTAATAACAAAAATCCAGGGTTTACAAATTCTTTTTTCTTAAAATATTATTTCAGGAAGATAGATTTTCTAAAATCTAAAATGTATCTCTTTGGTATTGATGGGCATTTACTTCTTTCTAACCTTTTTTTGAAGGTATAGTGGGATGTCAACCTCTTGATTATATAATTATATACCCTTCCATATATATTTATTTAAGAAATTTATAAGATGTTGCGTATTTATATATCGTATATATATATATATATATATATATATATATATATATATGAATCTGCTGAACGATATGAATATACTGAAAGAGATAGATTTATGGTGTAGTAATAAACCGAACGAAAATTGGTGAATACTCTAACACAGATCATATGTTAAAAGACACAATTATTACGCATTTTAAAACGCCTATCACCAGTTAATATTGCATTTTTATAAAAGGCTCTTATTTTTACGATGTTGCGTAGTTTAAAATGCGTCATATTCAACAATATATATATATATATATATATATATATATATATATATATATATATATATATATATATACAGACATAATGAACAATATTGATATACTGAAAGTGATAGATATATACAAAGGTAGATAAACAGTAAGATAGATATAAATACAATAGATAGATAGATATCAATACAATAAATAGATAGATATCAATACAATAGATATAACATTAACAGACTGAGATAGATATATAGATAAGAACAGATCGATGGATACATAGATAGAAAGATAGATATGAACAGGCTGAGATAGATAGATAGATAGATCGATAGATAGATAGATAGATAGATAGATAGATATGGTTAGTCTGAGATAGATAAATAGATCAATAGATAGATGAATAGAATGAGATAGAAAGATAGATAGATAAATACACGAGATAGATAGATAGATAGATAGATAGATAGATAGATAGATAGATAGATAGATAAGAAACAGTCTGATAGAGATAAATACGAACAGAGTGGGATAGATCTATAGATAGGAACAGACAGTGATTGATCGATATAGATATAGTGAAAGTTAGATATGAACAGACTGAGATAGATAGATAGATAGATAGATAGATAGATAGATAGATAGACAGACAGACAGATAGATAGAAAGATGTATCGATATACAGATAAAACCTGTGAAACTTCTTTCTAACACGGATCATATGTAAAGTGAAAAAATTATGCAAAGTCCTGAAACCACATCTCCATTTTTATAGAGACATTTACTGCTAGGATGTTGCGTAATTTAAGGTCGTTCAAGTCCCCCGCATGTAACACGCTTCTCTGGGAATGCAGGTTTCGTAGGCTGTAAGACGTATAGTAAGCGGAAACTAAGTTCAAATGATAAGCTATTTTTCTCAGGTTGAGTGAAAGCGATTGGACATAGACGTTGTATTAAATTGTCAGGTTGTCGTAATTCTTTTATCATGCATTTCTTCTTTTTTATTTAATGGTGAGCGCGTTTGTTATTTTAAGCGCTTAATGTAGCACTTGGCAAGAGACGAAAATCACAATGAAAAGAACGGGCCTTCCGAGTCTTCAATGATGATTCAGTGACTATGAAAACAAAAAATAAGAATAAAACGAAGAGGTAAATAGATTTGCATCGAAATCGACTGGGACAATGGAAGAAGGAGACATCTTTCCTGAAAATGGTTACAATGATGAGAGACAAAATGATGCTGAGAATGATGACTTCTCTTTAAGTAACATTTGCCTCTTTATCAGCATCTTTGGTCCCTATTTTGCCAGCCATCCTCACCAAATATTCCAGCTTCCGTTCACTTCCATATGTTAAATTCTCTAAGGCATATTTCCGCATTATACGAGGTCTGGTCAAATAATACCAGATCTGTGGTTACAGTAACAGAGCTAAAGAACGCATGATGATGCCTCTTGTCATAGGCACTTTGAAACTGTTGGCCATGAAAACTAAGATATAACGTTTTCGCTCACTTCCCTTTTTTTATAGAAGTTCCTGGAAGGAAAGTGTGGTCGTCTCAACACACCAGAAAGTTTCCAACATGGACCAGGGATCGTGGACAAATATTTGTCTAAGCACACACTTCTCAGTCACGACGCCAACCATATACCACAGATCTCAACCCTAGCGACTATCTTTCCTTCAGCAATCAAATCCCACAAGAAAGGACGCAAGATTTCAAGACGATGAGGAAAATCAATTTGTAGTTTTAATTTTATGGACGAGACCTGATGTATTTTTTTTTAAACAAACATATCTGACGCCACTAGAAATTGTCCTCGAGGTCTTCTTATAGTCACTTCGAATTCTTTATTTCATGCGTTTTGCGTTGTTGCGTTTGTGTTACCGGGGGTCTCTTATTTAATCCACAACAATATCTGGTTCCAATCGTATCTCTATCTATCTATCTATCTATCTATCTATCTATCTATCTATCTATCTATCTAAGCTTTTATATACCTACCTAATCATTAATTTATATTGTAAATTATGTTTTTGATTTCATTAATTTATCTATTTAAGCATTTACATATCTATATGTATATGTCTATCTAAGCTTTTACATATCGATCGATCTATCTATCTACCTGGTTCTGTTCGTATCTATCAATCTATCTATCTATCTTGTTTTATTCGTATGTATGTTGCATTTATGTATGTATGTATGTATGTATCTATCTCATTTCCTTCTATCAATCTGTTTGTTCTGATGGTATCTATCTATTATCTATCTCTATATATATATATATATATATATATATATATATATATATATATATATATATATATATATAGTTTATGCAAAACTAGGTAATCCGTATGGGTAGACCCAAGGAGGATGATATCCAGAGAGCTCAATGTAAATTCAGAGCAAATATGTTTGAATAAAAACAGATCACTTAAAGGTTCCATGCAATAAGTTATTTCACCACAACCCTTTTAAAGGGTTCTGGATCATCAGACTTTACTTCCAAAATTTGAAATGAAAAATGAAAAGAAACTTACACATTTTTGACGGACCCCACCAAGCATATGTAAAATTAACGAAGTGAGGAAGTGAGGTGGGAGAGAAGATATGAGTGAGTTAGATGTACCATTTTCAATTTCTTATCCTTAACCCCACTGTGTGGCTAGACGACGCCGCTTAACTTAACGTATGTTATCTCTAGATATAGATGGGTAAGGGATGAGGGAGAAGACCGACTTAAAAGGGAGAAGATACAGCAAACAATAAAATAATAAATCATGTCCATGAGAGCAGGTTTCACTTAAATTCTTAGACGCTGTTATTTTGCATTAATTTTAAGGGTATATTTGGGGGTTAGAGTTTGATATAAATCTAAATGTCTAAAAAATCTACGAAGAATTTAATTTGAAGTTTGTTGGAGTTTTTGGGTATCTTCTATGAAATAATCGATTGGAAAAAATTCATAGAAAGTACATTGAAAGAATAATCCATTTTATATCTAGTAATCTTTTTTTTATTTTCGTAAACTTTTTTCTTATAGATTGTTAAGTTGACATCTATTTGTTTGATTTTTGTTCATAAATTCACTTCGTGACTGTTTTTAGATACCTAATTATCAAAGGTTATTCCAATTTAAATAATTTTATTGGCCACGAAGCGGTTTATCTTGCCATTGTTTCTGTATCTTGTCGGTTGCATTTGTTTTTGCTTTATTTTTATTTATTTTGCAGCTTCAGTCGGTGTATTGTGCTTTACTTGTATTTCTCCATCCATTTGAAACTCCATTTTGAACTTGTTAGCTTTTATTATTGAATAAAGGCGCTTCCTGTTTTCATGTTCTCTGACATTTCTTCTGTTGTTTCCAGGTATCTGTGAAGGCCAATTTTGTAGGGCAGTTCTAGTTGAACTAATCCTCTGCCTCCATCAGGATCTGGGCACATACAGAAGATCAATATCAGTTTGGGATGATGCATGCGGTAGCAAGTGAGAAGCTTTCTCGTTTTGGCGTCCATTCCTTTAATGTCACCGATGGTCCAATTTAAGGATGTTAAAGTTGTATTGCACCACAAGGACAGCTAAGGTGTTTATATTCTGTTTTTTTGTTTGTTTTAGTTCAGCTCTGTATGTCCTACCAGACGAACACGCCTGTAGTACTCCTTTTTTACCTTCACCCTTATTTGGTTATGTTGTATACAATCTAATTCCTACGTACTTATAGGCTTCATTTTGTTCCAGTTCCCCTAATCTTTGTGAAAAAGTCTAAATCTATTGAGGTTGTTTCTATAATTCTCTCTTTCTTAAATGTTACTTTTGCACATTTATCTAATCTGAGGTCCACACCTATGTCGTCACTGAAACATTATACAATATTGAGGAGGCCCTTCAACTCATTGTCGTTTTTGGTAAAGAGTTTGAGATCAACCATGTAAAGAATGTGATTGGATATTTTTTGTCTAGTTTGAAACCATAGCTACTGTTGTTTAGTGCATAAGGGAGAACAAGGGCAGACAAAACAGAACGGATGAGAGGGAGACTCATTGAAAGATTCCTCGTCGGATATTCAGACGGTTGGAGATGGCCGTGCCTCTGGTGTGATTTAGGTATAGTGTGGTGTTCCACATTCCCATGCTGTGCTTAAGGAAATTTCTACGACAGGGGAAACTTTGTACATTTCCAAATTTTAAGGATTTCGTCAAGGTCTCCTTTAATTTTCAAGGATCATTTTGTTTATCAGTAGTTGACCTTTGCAGCCATATGAACCTCCTGTATCCCTTCTGTTCCAGTGGAAGAATGTTGTTTGCTTCGAAGAAAGTTCAGTTCATCAGGACAGACGTGATCAATTTATATGTGGTGGGGAGACGTGTTATTGGCCTGTAATTTTTCGGATCATCTGTTTCACTCGTTTTTGGCATGAAATATGTAATACATTCAGTGATCCAATCCGGGATTTCATTGGGATTATTTACAAGCGTTAATAGAGATTTTGCAAGGGATTTATGGATTGATGAGGGATGAAATAGCCAGAAATTGGGCACCTTGTCATT